TATCCCTAACCATCTAACCCTAACTATGATTGTCTAACAGTCTATCCCTAACCATCTAACCCTAACTATGATTGTCTAACAGTCTATCCCTAACCATCTAACCCTAACTATGATTCCCTAACAGTCTATCCCAGCCAGGTTGGCCTATGCTCATCACAGAGCGTCACAATTAGTATTGTGAGCATGCATCTTTAATGCTGGACATCGACTGGAATATCTTTATTTAAAGCCCATCTGTTCATTCAGAATAGCATTTAGCATTTAGGACAGGAGTGAATGTATAAAGATGGACAGCAAACGAATAACGGCTAAACAAACAAACGATAAATAAAGCAGGACATGGTCTGAAGCACTCTGTTTATACACAAAGTCAGATTAAGCAGCTTAACAGATGTGGCTGGGCTCTGCTGTTTTCAGTGCTGCAGCCCTCGTGGGTACTGTAAACACTGCCATCCCGCCTCCCCCCCCCCACTGAGCAGGCCACACTGTATCGCATGCGTTTACAATGGGATGAGGCCTCCCATTAAACTGGGGGTGGTGAGGGGGGTTTCTCTCTGGTGTTTCTCGGTGACTGAAACACAGAGGAAGCACATACCAGTTTCTGTTCTAAAAGTGGTCACATGACTGGTCCTGGTTATAAATGATGAGGCCACCCTCACCTGAGCTTTCCACAGAGAGAGAACAATGCATGATGGGATATTATCAACTAGGAGCAAAAGACAGTGTGAGAATACATGATCCAATCAGAGGCTTTAAACAGCTCTACATAAAAACTACATAAACCAATCAGGCTGCACGCAATGCCTGGGTCCCCAACCAATAAGCTCTATACACAACAAACCAACCTATGAACAACATATTCAGTACATATACACACTTCAACACCATTTACAATGCAGATATTGTTTTCACCTAAGAATAGAGTATCTAAGAATAACAACATGGCACAAGCGGAGTTCAGTATGGGAAAATGTAACATTACAGAATGTGTGTCCACTGCTTTTAATGGGGCAGTACTGCCCCCTGGGGGCGAAGGACAGAAGTTCACCAAGAGTTCAGCCGTAAAGTTAAAGTTCAGGATTCTCATAAGCAGACGATTCCTCTGGGAGTGACTGGCTTACATGTAAACAAACTTATTCATGCTGTCCTTTGATAAATACATTTATGACACTTTTGGTTGCATATATAAAACGTAAAATAGCGTATCAACAGATGGAAGACAAATGAACAGACACATAATTGCATTATGTATTAAAACCAGATCCCACAGATTGTGTTTACAGTGTGATTTAGTTACGATATGAATACTGGCAGATTTGTAATAGATGTGTGCTTATATTCAAATGTCCCTATATATGCGAGGTACAGATGCTAATATGAACATGGAGTAACAGGCCGTCATCACGCTTCATTCAGCTATTTCAGCATCTAAAAAGAATGTTTAGGAGGATAGTGTTGGGATGTAAACCTTCAGAGGGCTCCTGCGTGCCCCCTAAACGCCAGGGGAAGCCGTGCCATCTTACCGCTGGTTGAACATCCCTCTGAAGTTGTAGTTGGCTCGGTAGTTGGGCACGGGCTTGGGGTCCAGAGGTCGGTAGATGGCTGGCTCTCCCCTCTTCATAGCCAAGCCGTTGAGCTCCACTGTGGGCGTGATGCTGCCTGTGAGAGAGAAGCTGCCAGTCACAAACCCCCCTGGTAGGGGCCCCTCCTACAGCAACAGAGCACCCCCATTCAGAGTTAGTGCTTCCTAACTTAGGGTTACCCAGACTGAAGATGGAATAGCCAACTAGATACCATGGAATATTTTCCTCAATACTGCCTCAGTGCAAAGGTAACTCACCGGTCACAAGAAAAACCTTGTAAATTGTTTCAAGTAAAAAGAGTTAAAGCATGAGAACAAAACAGAGCAAAAATATCACACGCCATCTTTAAGTACATTTTACAGCTGAATGCTAGATAAATACTGTATCATCGGGACACATCATTGGCACTTCACTAAGCCCCTGAGGTCACAGAGTCCTCACATGTTAATTCTTCATCTTGTTCTTTTTACTTTGGTGGGCTGCATCCTCGCCAGACATTAACTTACATTATATGGAGAAAAGTATTGGGACACACCTCTTAATAATTGAACTCAGGGGTTTCATTCAGACCCATTTGCCACAGGTGTATAAAATCAAGCACCTGGCCATGCAGTCAGGTTTACAAATGTTTGTGACAGAATGTGTCATTATGAAGAGCTCAGGGAATTCAAGCGGGGTGCTGCCACAGGATGCCACCTTTGCCATAAATCAGTCTGTGAATTTTCTCCCCTGCCAGATATTCCACGGTCAGCTGTAAGTGGTATTACTGCAAAGTGGAAGCATTTAGGAACCATAGAAACTCAGCCACAGAGTGTCAGAGCATGTAAAGTAGCAGAGTGGGGTCATCGAGTGCTGAGGCGCGTAGCATGTAAAAGTCGCCAACGCTCTGACTCAAAAGCTGCAGAGTTCCAAACTTCCCCTGACATTAACCCCACCACAAAAACTGTGCGCTGGGGGCTTCATGGAATGGGTTACCAAGGCCGAACAGCTGCATGCAAGCCTCGCATCACCCAGTACAATGCTAGACGTCAGATGGATTGGTGTAAATCACACTGCCACTGGACTCTGTAGCAGGGAAAATGTGTTCTGTGGAGTGATGACTCGCGCTTCTCTGTCTGGCAGTGTGATGGACGAGTCTGGGTATGGCGGATACCTGGAGAACATTACCTGACTGACTGCATTGTGCCAACTGTAAAGTTTGGTGGAGGAGGGATAATGGTTGTTTTTCAGGGTTTGTTCGACGCCCCTTAGTTCCAGTGAAGGGAAATCTTAATGCTTCAGCACATTTTGGACAATTCTATGCTTCTACCTTTGTGGGAACAGTTTGGCGAAGGTCCTTTTCTGTTCCAGCATGACTGTGCCCCAGTGCACAAAGCAAGGTCCATAAAGACATGGTTGGGTGAGTTTGGTGTGGAAGAACTTGACTGGCTCCCACAGAGCACTGATTTCAACTCCATCGAACACCTTTGGGATGAACTATAATGGAGATTGCAAGTCAAGCCTTCACATCCAACATCAGTGCCTGAGCTCACAAAAGCTTTTCTGAATGAATGGGGAAAAAGCCCCTCAGACACACTCCAAGGTTTTGAAGAAAACCTTCCCAGAAGAGTGGCAGCTGTTCTAGATAGAAAGGGGGGACCAACTCCATATTGACATCTATGGGTTTAGAATGGGATGTCATAAAAGTTTCTATAGGTGTAATGGCCAAATGTCCCAATACTTTTGTCCATACAGTGTAGTTATGGTTCCAATATGAAGCTTTGTAATTGAACCAAAGTGCAAGGGCTCCCCCTGCTGTCTTTGACTAGAAATTTCTGACATCACAACGTACACATCACATTCCATCCAAGGTGTACTCTGGCCTTGTGCCCTGTGCTGCCTGTGATTGGCTCCAGGCCCTCCCCCCTTGGCCCCTCCCCCCATGGCCCTGACCAGGATAAGCAGCACGGCAGCATGTCACTCATTCCTCGCTCTCCTTTCTGATCGCGCGTCTCCTTCCCAAAAACCAATATGTGCGATTACGATAACGGTGCAGTCACCCCCCCTCCAGGATAACGGTGCAGTCACCCCCCCTCCAGGATAACGGTGCAGTCACCAGCAAGCCCCTTGTGTCAGTGTGCATTTCACACACTCATGAAGCTGCCACATAGGTCAATACAACACGCCAAGGTCTCAGCGCTGAGCGCTAACTCACACCCACTCATCCATCTGGTTAAGCAGTACAGGAAAGCTAACCGCCTGACTCTCTGATGATACCTAACTAACCACGAGAGAGGGGGATGCGAGGGCACACCCAGGCAGGCAAGCAGAGGGAGGTTAAGGACCCCAATTCCTGTACAGGTCAGACATGCATCTAGCCTTCAATATGGGGGCTGGACACTTCAATGAAGTTCTGGAGGCAGTTCTGAGTCTCTGAATTTCAGAACATAAACTGGAGAAGAAGCATCCTAATAGTACAGAAATCACCTCATATGCATTTCCCGGACAGAACGGCTCATTAACAGTGAGGAAAAGAACCACAGGGTGCCCACACACTACCTGGGTTGCTGTGGGCTTCCAGCTTGGGCAGGCGTGGTGAGGGCCTAGGGAGACTGGACTCTGTCAGGGCTTTGGATGCTGTGCAGTGCTGGGCCTTTTTTATGCTGGTGCCCTCCGCCTCCCACACTTGCTCCCCGAGGGACAGCTGCACAGTGAAGATCTGCAGAGATGGCCGGAATCAGACAAAGAGTAGAAACAGTGACCTCTACGGGCTGCTCTCAGAACAGCAGGTGGAAGAGAGACTAAGGTTTCCAGCCTTCATCAAGCAATGAGAGGATTATTAAAATCACTCAGACAAAACCTTTTAAAAGTAGTTCATCCTGCTTAAACCTCGTGATGCCAAAGAACAGAGACACAACCTCAGCTTTTTATTCTGATTTAAAGTAAAATGGCTATTCTCAGGAAGCCATCACAATCTGCTTCTGTTTGCTGGGGGAAGGTGTGGGTAAAATCTTCCAGTTAAAACAGCCAGTTAAACCAAGTGTAAATAAAGCTGTTAATAATCATACTCTTCGAGAACTGAAATCCAGCACTGACCCTTCAAGAACTGTTATACCAGTGTGACACACACTGTATAGCTAACTACAAATATTAACAGGATATAATCAGCACACCTACTTGCGGGTGTCAGCGTCCCCCTCAATCACCCCCACACCCCAGGGGTCAGTAGGGCCATTTTTAAAGCTATCAAACCCCTGAGTGACTAATCTGGATGTTTATGACCCCAGTGAGCTTCTGCACACCCCAGTGAAACCAATGAGCTTCCACATACCCCACCGGAAAAAAATCTTCCACACACACTCCACTGAAAG